CCCCCCCCCCCCCCAACCATCTTGAAATGTCACATATAATAAACATAACATAAAATGCTAATACAATATTACATGAAATATTGCTATGTTCTTCACATTTTGATTTCTGCTATTCTGCAATAACTGGGATTATTATATACAAAAGCACAATTCTATTTCAATAACTACCGGTACTAACTCTGCAACCCCCACTGACATTTTGATTTATGCACTTCTGCAATAAGTGGGACTAGCTACGCGGCTTGCTCGTTTTGATTCGTGCTATTTTGTGTCGCTAAGACTAGTTTCGCGATCAATACACAGACTTCAGACGAGAAACGCAATGCAGAAAAGTTTGAACTGGCCATCAAGTAAAAATATATGTTGTGGGATACTGCACTTAGTGTCAATTTCTCATGCAAAAGTGGGTCGTTTCTGTTATTTTTACTCTTACGAAAGGTGGTTTCAAATATCAAAGTGGATTTTACTTATATGTCTCCGCAAGGTCTTCAAGAAACAATTTTGACTCGGGGCATGATGGCTAAGGACTCCAAAGACTAGTCTCTACTGACAATTATTGCCCTTGATGAGAATGTATCAAAACATTACCTTGATGAAAATGTATCAAATACATTACCTTGATGAAAATGTATCCAATACATTACCTCAAGAGAACACAAAGCACGGAACCGAACTGGCTTACCCAATGATGCGTTTTAGAGAATAATATTAACTATAGGGGGAGCTAGTTGCCATCTGTTCCTCACAAGGAGCTTAAACAGGTGGATAGTCCCACAGAATTCTTTTCTTCGTTACATATCTTACAAACCCTAACAGTTTTGTCCAAATCTGATCAAAGTGTTCAAAACATGTTCGACGGCATGAGGTGCGCCTTTTTTTATAGAAAACGAGGAGTAGAACAAGTCTTATTATACAGTGGAAGAAATGACACAAAGAAAAGATCTTTGGAATGAACCACGTCTCCATGGAGGTGACTGGTCAAACAAAGCAACGTCATGTTCACTGGTATTATAAAGACTACTCCTTTCCATTCTGAAATGCGGAAGCAAATATTAAGCCATCATTGGAAAACGAATCCTCTTGAATACACGAGTTTATCAATCTTGGACAATGATGTATAATGCGTTATAATCTGTGCGTTCAACAATATCACAGCGTTGTCTCTTCTCTCTGTTACTGACAACATTTTAAGACGCGTCCCTTCAGTGGCTGTGGAGGCCTGTAGTTGTCGACCACGTGGCCACAAAACTCGTCGTCTTCACTGGGACAGGTACCAGCCTTGTGGCTGCGGAGATCGCGCAGTGCATCCAGCTAGGAAGAGAGTTAAAAAGAGACATGAAAGAAGGACATTTCCTACGTTGTTGTACTTATTCTCTACCATTTTGTTTTAATTTCTTTTTTTTTTTTTTTTTGATCATCTTTTTGATAGCATATCCATAAAGGCGCATGAAATTAAAGTAAAGCTTTCTTCGCGTGAATCTACAAGTATTAATCTAAGAATAAGCAGGCATAAAGGATTCCAAATTTCTTATAATTTATAGATACATGTATAGCTGTAATTTCCATCATTAAAAATAAAACATTTTTCGTAAGGTAAAATTATATTTGTACGGATAGTAATCTTAAGCATTTGATATTTGCATTTGGTGCCTATATATATATATATATATATGACATGGACTGTATTACCCGGTGCAGATACTGGCGCCTTTATACTGACTGATTTTGTAAAACTTCCAGTACATAATACTGAAAGGACTTATGTAAATGTCTAAGGGCACTACTTTTGCATGATTACGAAAGAAGTTTAGGATACCTGTGCTCGCGACATTTCAATTGGCTCTTTGAATACAATCCAATTCACGGATTCATAGCATGGCGGTGTTGTAAGGGACCCACTATATGTCCAATAGGCAGTGGTATTCTCTAAATAAAATAAGATCAGACAAACCATTATAAAGGACATATTGATTAATGTGATCCTCTTGCAAGGGTCTGGTTGATTGAAACTATTTGTCGACAGAAAAAGAGGAGTTTAAAAATCTCATATTATCTGTGGTAATTACTCATGAATATCAATTTTATAAATTTTAATTTAAAAGAGAGGTGGCACATATTCGATAGTTTTATCACGTGTGAGTACGTCACAATTGTGTTATCACGTCACAAAAGACATAACGTCGCAAAAACTCACTTGGCAGCAAGGCCGTCAGCTGCATATTGTCGTTATCAGCTAACTTCCTCTCATCCCCGGCATATTTGATCTCACTGCAGTACCTAAGAGACTTCTGAAGCTCCGAATGTTCCTGGCCGACCTTAATCAGCATCCCTAGAACGGCCAGACCACCCTGAGCCGAGGCTGCCTCGGAGAAGGAGGCCCCTTTATCCTTGGTCCAGTGAACAATGTGGAGCTAGAAAGAATTATAGACAGTAAATTCAATCTGTGAGTGTTATGTGTTGAAATAACGAGTATAATATACTCGGTTATTATGGTCTTTGTCTGCCCGTGTTAAGACCCAATGTCGATGGCTCCTATGTCTGTGAAAAAACATGCATCTTTATCTGTTTACAAATAATTTTCTTTTGGCAAACTGGACTGCCAACACCAAATACGCATGGTTATATATCTTTAAAAATGTCTGTCGAGATTTTTAGTTTGTTTGTTTCTTGTTAAAACCTAAGATCTAATATACGTTTATTAGATCTTAGTTAAAACGCAAAGAGTCGAAATATCTGTCAGCCAGTGAGATTTGAACCGTCAGTGGGTATACTTTTGCAAGTAGGAGGTGACGTGATAAACATGTGTTTATCGAAATTTGTACTTCTCATGTTAATTCCTTTCAATCATCAAATATTTGCCAGCTGTGCTCAACTCTTACTCATTGAACAGAATTTCCCAGACGCTTGACCTAGGCAGACAGGAGGCCTACAAGGCTAAATTACATAAAATGCTTTACTCTGCATATCCTTATATAAACTGTTTATGCACATTGTGTCATATTTAACACCGTTTTAAAGTCCCAACATCTTTACTTTATCTCCTCCTCTATTACAAAAATCTATTACATTTCACTTTATGTGGCTATCTTAACATTTCACAATAACGATATTGTAAGCTGGCAGTGTGACAATTATTTCTTTTTCCAACCTTCTTACACCAGAACAGACATTGTTCACTTAATAAAAGTATCCATATGTAAAAGTAAAATAAGTGCAGTGAAATCACATATAAGATGCAAGCTCACAAAGGCACACGAAATTGTACGAAGATTCTCGAATCATAACCACGTGCACCGCGTGCGTACCTCTGCGGAGTAATTCTGCCCTTCCACTGTGTGCTCGGAACCCCTGTCGTCCTCTTTGCCCCAGTGAAAGTGAAACTGGATCGGCTTGAAGTGGCTGGTGAGGGGGCCGCCTGACAGACCTGGTAAAACACATCATACGTGACTAAATTACTGGAATTCGTTGGAACGGTGTTCATACCTTTATTTTAAAAGAAATTATAAGAAACATAAAAAAAAGATAGGCATCTGTTTCATAAAACTGCCTTATTCATTCTTTTTATTTTTGGATTTTTTTATAAATCGGAAATATTACAAACAAAATGACATTTTTTAGCTTAAATGCTAGCCAAAATTATAATATAAAACAAATACATAGAGGTAAGTTGGAGAATGCAGTACAATAGACGTTGATGTTACCAAGAGTTCGCCTGTCGACTTTGTCTTTATGTTATTTGAAGCTAAGGTGGTGCACCACTGAACCAGACAAAAAATTTCCGAAATTTAGAGATTCCAGATAGGGGATTCTGTAGGCCTAAGAGTAAGAGGTTAACAAGGCACACGATTCAAGGATATCGCTAGGGTAAATGTTTGCCATTTCTTGCTTGGTTAGGCATGGTAATTACATAGAAGAAAAGTTATTTAAAGATACTGGGTGAAAATACCACAGCTAACACCATGAGGGGAATGGTGAAAGGTCTTTTTTTTAAATAAACCCAGGGGCGGATCCAGAGATATTTTCTGATAGTCTTCCAAATTATCTTTGTTGATCCATCCACCATTTTTGACCGTCTTCCGACAGAAAAAATTAGATACCCGTCAATGTAAACTTGGAAATCTGACCGTCTTCAGGAAGACCCAGAAGACAGCCTAAATCCGCCCCTGAAACCAGTTATTCTCTGTTAAATATTGATTAAGTACCCGTCTGAATTACATGCTATATAATGTTGAAAATTGTTTTGTTGTATCGAATAAATGATGGTTAGCAGACGTTAGTAGATAAACGGCAAATTTCCCTACAAAACGTTAGATATTACATGTGAATATGAAAGATTTAGTATGCAATTAACGTAATTAACAAATACACACGATCTGTGCAATTTTTGTGAAAAAAATAGTTTAAACTTCAAAGATAAAATCACTAACACAATTATTATCAGGAATTTTTAAAATCCATACAAACTATAACAAAAATCATGCGTAAGCGTGCAACTGGTCGCGCTAAACATTCATTGATAAACCAACGCAAAATACAAATCAAGACAACAAATATAAACGGCTTACTGTTGGTCCTAGCCTTCTGATTGTCCACTATATAAGGAGCTAGCAGAAATGGAAACAAATCATTCCAAGCTTAAAGCACAGCATACAACAACAATGATGTATTCACAACGACAAAGCCAAAACCATCGCTCAACCAGTTTCATGAAGTCACCAACCCAGCACAATGCCACCTGAATGGATCGCGTGAAACGCCCGATCCACACAGTTAAACTTTAAGAGGACTGCTGCTGGGTGACAGTTTTGAAAAACTCCTCCCTAGCCAATGAGAGCATGTAAACTGGTTAACCTTTGTCAATGTGTCAAAGCACATGTATGTATGTATACGAAATCATAGAATAAAGGTAGAATCAAATACTAAAGACACGCAGGCTAAGCAAGAAAAATTACAATATGTAGGTTAATCATAAATTACAAGATGATGAAAAAAAAGCTTTAGCATAATCATCGCTGATTATACAAATTCAATCATGCAATAATACATTTGCCCATTAAAATGAAAAGGAAAGATTAAATGTTTTATCCAAAAAGACACAAGTTTTAGGGCGAATAAATCTATGTATGCAAACTGTTCGGAATTCAAGGCCAGACTCTCCTTTCGAAATCTTCGATTAGAGTCTCCAGCATCGAAATCGACACAGTAGAGAAGGGGAGTTTGTTTTGTGATGTGTACTAAACAAAACCCAACAGCTACATATATATCACGTTATAAACTTGTGTCATTTTGTCAAAAAACACCAATCCCATTTACAAGAGTGATATGTATAAAATATATTACAAGCACATAAACAACGAATAATACATGTACATTTAAACGCAGATAAACCAAAACAGCCAATCTGGCAGACATGCAGACCATATAGAACAAAGGGAAATAAATGCACATTTAAAACGCTTCAACATACTGTTGTCTCCGTCTTGGTCGATGTCCACCTTAAACGAGTACCCGGTGTTCGAGATGTTTGTGCACCTGGCGGTGGGGTAGTTGAACACTAGAGGGCGTGCCGCCAGCTCGCTGTCAACTACAGTGTCTTTGAGGTCTATCGGGGACTGGCAATCTCCCGCAGCGTGCTGGAACGATTGGCCCCAAGTTGCGGGTCCTGTGAAACAAGGGCATATCTTTGAGAAAGATAGTTGTGTATATACAAGAATATTGATAATATAACAGTAAATGCATTCAATGTAAGGTGACGTGAAATAAGGGGGAGCACTTACGAATCTCGATACTGAATAAAAATAAGATAATATAGCAGTTAGCACAGTGACTTAAGAAATATCACAAACAAAAAAATACAAGTTTCACCGATAATTGATGCATGCTATACATAAAATCCCCTCTTACTAGTTAAAGTATCGCGATGTGCACACAGTCAACGCTAATTTCCATACATTATAACTTTCATTTTTATGATGACTGAGAAGTAACATATCAACTACTTCTGGTAGGAAATAACGCTAGGCGTGACAGAACTGCTCCAAGTGATAACAGGTCGGTGACATTTTTCCTTTTACTCTTTTTTTTATCGCTCAATTTTTTTTTATGCTTTTGAGTCTGAAATGATGAAATTCACAAAGCATGCATTCAAGTTTTCTAGTTTTCTACACCGCCTATAGCATGGCGAAACACATAAGAACAAGCAGCTACCCCCCCCCCCCCCCCCCCCCCCACCACATTCACACATTCACACACACACATTCCCCCTCTATGCGAAACATATTTTTACTGCTATGCTGATACTGGTAAGATCATCGTCAAAAGCGTGACGGGAGAACGCGCTTTAACAGACGTTAAATGTGCTATCCTAAGAGAAAGAAACAGTAATCGTCAGGTCGTCTGGTGCTGTTCGTTTTCTATGTGAACGCCCAGGTGTTCTTTAAATCAGACGAAGTATGAGATTTCCACACCCTCAGTTTCAAGGCATTCAAAGGTTACAAGAAGCGCGTGTCGAGATGTACAAAGGTGATGTCATTTTTAGGGACGCGCAGGGTGATCTTCCCCTACAAACACGTGCCTTAAAGGTGCCCAGAAATGAATCGTTTCACGGTCAAAGGTCGATGCGTTAAAAAAAATGACCTGACATATCGTTGTTCAGGTCAAGCTAGCAGACGATATGGATCTGGTTTAGTTTACCGCCACGGGAGACGGGGTTTGTTTTTGATACCTTTCTTAAAAACTACATTAACTAGGACTTGATACATTTTAATTCACGGGAAAATATAATGAGTAAGACCAAAAATAAGAATTGATATGCAAGGTATATATAGAATAAATGAAACACTAGATATCTTCCAGATGTTACTTGTAATTATATACATGAGAAACGTAAATAATTAGTGTAGTATTCCTTACCAACTGTCATCCAAGAACAACCCCCGGCAACGTAAAAAGAAAATGATAAAAAATTGATTAAAAAGAAAACAATTCCCCTTTGCAGTTGCAGTATCTTGTACACGTAGCCCGCTAAACTTAATACGAAAACCCGAACTTTTGAGGTCAAAGATGAAAGGTGCAGCTGTACAACTAAATCGGAATTTTCTCATGTAAAAAATGAACGAAAGAAAAAAGGCACGTTCAAATTGGCGTAAAGCGAATGCAATTTATCATAGCTAAACCCGTATCGAATATTATCAACTCACTGAAAAGTGCGGGTGCTAAACAAGTGCACGGGACTTCAAGGTGAAAATTAACGCAATAGCTCAGAGTTGATGAAAGTGAATATAACACCACTTGCCTAAAACCCTGGTATACAGAAAGAAAAAAATACTCGAATACGAAAACCAAAGTAGCGCCAACTGAGCCGTTCTGGTAATACTCATTTTCCGTGCCCTGATATGGACAAGCTCGCCGTAGCCGAGACAGACGCGGTTTGGTTGCAGTCCAAAAACGCTGCCCGAATACACAACTAAGGGGCTGTTTCTTTTTCTTAATTCGATTGTATTTCTCGATTTTTTAACCCTTCCTGTCGGAAAAAAACTTAACACTTTTCATGTTACACTTTTTCTGTGCATTTTGGCATTTCACATCTGCTAAAATGTTTTTCGTCGCGAAAGTAAAATTCAAAGTTACATCATTTGGAAATTCCTTTCTCGCACTTTCCCTTTCGATCACAATGTCAAACCCCATGACATCTAACATTGTAGAATAATCTTTTCTACGCCTGGAGACTAAAATTTTCAGGCCAGCACCGTGTCAGCCTCTGACATAACTTCACATCTCACCTGACAACCGTAATCTATAGAAAATGAGCAAGTCCTACCGTCAAACAGCGAAGTTCCGTGTGTCACCAAATATTACATGAATAGAATCGTTACATCTTTGTTTGAATTTGACTTTGAAGGGTGATGCTGTCTGCCATTTCTCTGTTTTGTTACATATAGCTTTGAAACTGAAGAGAGGCACATAGATTATCATTATAAAGCATTATACAATTACCGTAGAGGAGCTGTGGTTCTGTCACTGCACATAACAATATTCAGAACTCAATTACGACAGATGTGAAGTAAACAGAACGAAAACCTAACTTTACAACAAAAGACAAAATGACTATAATCAGTAAAAATGTCTATATTTGTCAAGGTAACTACATAGTATGTGAGAGCAAATTTTTGTTGCAACTGTAAAATGATATAATAATGTCACTGTAACGATATAATAATGTCACTGATTACCCGGTATTTTCATGCACTAACTGTGCAGACTTGAGCCGTGAGGTTCGCATTTTTTTTTTTTTTTTTTTTGCATAATCTTAAGACTGGGCTAGATCCGTCGCTGCGGAATAGAAAAGACTCATCACATCATAATTTTTAGGATGATAAGTCTTACTGAATATTTGATATATATATTTTTATCCCTAAGGCCATAGAATTTAATACAGGCGACAATTTGATATATTGTTATTATTGTTAAAATGATTTGGATGGTGGGGTTATAAAGCGGCCTTGTTTGGCCAAATCTCGAACAATAGATATTCTTTGTTGCATTCTATCTTGTTATGAATGGAACTATGAAAGTTTGTGGTACACTGGGGTGGAGGAGACATAAAATTTATTGTACCTATGCCTGGTCTTCCTACTGACCACCGTCCACCGACCAGTCAAGGTCAAATCCACTTTTCACACCTGAGTCTCAACAAAGTCACCTGTAAGGAACTTGCTTCGTTTAAAGAGTATTCACGGGCGAAGGGTGCAACATGTGTCCCTCGTGGGAGTCATTTCTTTTCCTACGTAATCATCCTCTGCGCATTGCTGATTATCTCGCGGGTGACAAATTAAGGGACCCAGCAAAACTTGTGATCTTTTCAGCGACAAAATATGCGATATTAAATACCCATTGATATTTGCCTATTGTAAAAAACATATGCGGATTTGTTACTGTATGTTATTTACCGTGGCAGATATTAGTCATGGTTTGGGGGGTGTGCAATGGTGTGCAGGATCACGTGCAATCCCAGGTGCGTGATCAGGGCCGTAGCCTGAGCAAAATGCCAGGGGGGGGGGGGGGCAGTAAGCGGACACGAGGGGGCACAGCCCCCGAGGTGGGAGGGGGTGTCCCCTTCCCACGGTGTGGAAATTTTTAAAAAACTGTATGTATAATACTGCATTCTGGTGCATTTTAACTGTTATTTATTGCTCAATCAGAAGTCAGAAATTGTGGGCGACGCCTCCGAGGGGGAACACCCCCTCCCACGGTGTGGAAAATTTTTTAAAACTGTATGTATAATACTGCATTCTGGTGCATTTTCACAGAAAATGATACCAACTTTGCAATTTTTTTTTTACCTTTGCGATTATTTTTTTTTGCACCTTAAATCCCTGCCCCCCCGGAGGCTACGGCCCTGGTAATTGTTTACCGATATGCTTGTGCTTGGACAGTCTTGGAAATTAAATTTTAAATGCCATTTGGGAATTTTCTTTACTGAGCCGTAGGGACAAATCGGCCTCCGCGCTGGAAAAATAAGTCAAAATTATTGATGCGCTTATCTAAATGAACATTTCTGACAAATTCTCCAAAAGTATTTTTAAAACAGTTTAATTATTTGCAAGTTTTCAAAAGTTTTTCCATTCACATTTTTGCAAAACCGTAGCCAACCTCTACAAGGTGAATAAAGCCTGTCATAACATGAAAAGCGTCATAATTGAACCGAACACCCCCAAAGAATAAATAAATAAATAAATAAATAAATAAATAAATAAATAAATAAATAAATAAATAATGCATTCGTTTTCATTTATATCGGACTGTGAAACGCACTTGTCGTAAGGCATGTTCGAGACTCCTAACAACGGCGATATTTGCTTCCGTTTTAATCAGTCCTCCTCCTTATCTTTTGGGAAAACACCCATACCATCTATTATCTAACATTTTATCACTAAACTGACGATATTAACTCGGCTTAGCACGGATGGATCGATTAGCACCTATTAATATTACATTATGAGTAGAGGAAGAGCGTCAGTATTCAAATGTCTGGGGTATAAACGCTTAATGTAATACGTAACATTAGTTTGTATATATTGAAATATAAGAACGTGTTATTGATAAATGGTAAGCCTACACTATGTAATACATTGAACACAGCGGCGCTGAGGAGCTAGGTTTTAAACATATTCTTATTATTATTATTATTATAATTATCATTATTATTATCGTTTACTCTTTTGTAATGATTACACGCAGAATATCAATCATATATAATAGGCAATAAGGATGGTCAGTGTTACAGTTCTAAAATGAGCAGCTTTCTTTCTTTTTAAGGGTTTCAAACAAAACTTCATAGAGGAGGAGAACCAGGTGATTGCATCTTTCAATGTATCTGACTATGCATATATGACATACTAAATATCTAAAATAGCGAAGAAATAGGTACACGAAGACCTGAACTGATGTCCGTATTGAATTCTGATCAAATCGTGAAGCGGAATAGATCTTGTTAACCGTTAAAACTAGGTCAGGCTCATCCACCGGTCTTCGTATCATTTGTTAAAAATCAATAAGCAGTAGTACGCGAGTCCTGCACTATTTCGTGATGTGAACTTCACAGACACGTTACCCGGTTTACACTACTGTTTGCCGTCACAATCGTATAAACAGATGTGGTGAGCAGTATTATATGGAAATTATCAACATGGCATTCTTTAGGTTTGTTGTCAGTACATATGAGAGAGAGAGAGAGAGAGAGAGAGTCGAGAGAGAGGGAGAAAGAGAGAGAGTCGAGAGAGAGAGAAAGAGAGAGAGAGAGGGAGGGAGATTCAAAAATAGAAACGGCTACAGCACGGCACTGAAGTATATATATAGAGAGGGTTGTCAGAAAGAAAAGACCGAGGTGGACAGTGTGGGAAATCACCGATCATCAGCATATATCTTCTACGTACATTCAGGGGTTGAAGTCAATGTCAAAACCAGACTGTGTGTCAAGTGTAATCTTACATGTCTTATCGTGACCCCTTCTAAAAGGTCTGTGATAAATATAGATGTCAACTTGGTATCAGTGATCAGAACGGCAAAGAACATATATAAGCTAAGCTTTGTATATAGCAACTACCTGTGAACAGTTTTCTCGTAACAGTGTGTAAAAGTGGTCTTCTCACCGTTCTTTTTTCCGTAACCCCAGGACGTCATCTCTTCTTGTTGTTCTCGATGAAAATGTGTCAGCTTGTCGACTGAATTGCCTTGGCCTTCAGTTACCGTATGCCTGTTCAATAACCGCTTCGCCTAAAATACCAAACAACGCACATCAACATTGTAAAGATGCTGTAGAGACCGAAAAATTGATTTCTTGGGCATTAGTACGATGCATAAATAGACAATCGTCACAATATTTTGCATTGCGGCTGCTAATACAATGATAACTGCTAGCCGGCGGATTCAATCAGTAAACTCTACAGCACACTGCTCCGATCGATAAAGTCGAACTTAATAGATACTCAAATATTAACAGAATCCTCTTCTTCAACTTCGTGAAAACTGGCCTTGACACCGGTAAGATGAAAAAAAAACTGGACGATCGATGGACAATAAATGATTTGTGAATAAGCCCTGATACCTGTTGAGTGCAGCGCTCTTCGACTAGCGGTTGGCTCCCAAGTTATCGAAGTAATCACGTGTGCCGAGAGAGCGCGCTCTCGTGAGTTTATAACCCCATGATTTACCAGGCTTCGGCAACCTGAGCCGATCGCTGGAAGTTCATTGGTTGAGAGAACACGCACCGCTACTGGGCTCATTCGAGGGAAAGAAGGTGGTAACTAGGCAACCGAGCGTCTATTATTTATAAGAAAAACCCTGAACTCATATCACCATCAGCTATGGTCGCTCCAGTTTTGCTTACTGCTGACTTTCATCAAAATGAATTGATTAGTATGGATAAAAAGATAATAATAATAATATTAATAATATGAAAACAATAACATACATTTTGAATAGAGAATAACTTATTTGCATTTTCAAAAAATCAGGAATACGCGAAAATACATCATGTTCTAATCCAGCAAACAGCATGCATGCTCTGCGTTCGTCTGAATTAAAACGCGTGTAATATTTAAGCATTGGCTTCTAATTTGTTAAATATATGAATATTAACACACACCACCTTGTTATAGTAGGCAAATGTATTCTAATGGACTGATGCTCCGGTTACATATTTCTACAGTATAACTGAGGCTAACGCCGAAAATGAAAAAAGTAAGGAGAAAAATCTTAAATAACAACTTGTGCAGGAGAGGCCTAACTCAATGTAGATAACCTAGTACCGATTGTCTCTCTTAATTGCCGAGAAAAGATTAAATTATCGTACGAGCTGGGTAGTACATGTAAAAGAAAGTGAAAAGTCTGTGAATGAAAAAAGCCATTAGTATTATAAATACTTAGTATGTATCAGTATTATTGAATGCAGATTACCCGAGGCGGTCATGGGTTTTACTGTACCACTGCTATCTTTGTGGCGGTTATCGATGATATCATGTGTATATTTGCTGGACATTTTAGGACAGTCGAATAAATTTATATAGGTCTATGTATGATACATCTTGTAAAACGTTTCAGTGCCGATAAGGTGTAATATACTGATCGTGCTTATCCATACCTCGTGTTATTTATATTCGCTTTTCCGATGGTTTCACATCATCTGTTTATTCTTTCCTTGAGAAAAATAAGTGTCTAATTAGCTTCATTGGGTCTTACGTAAAAACACTGAAAAAAAAGCATTTAAATGATCAAGTCAGCAGAGAAGCTAGACGAAATTATCGAACCAAGGTATTCAAAGCATCAATGCAAGGTGAACTTTCAACAGAATAAGGGCGTGTGGTGCCAAAGATATTTACTGGGATATAATATATACATAACAGACAAGCTACGTCACATTACCACATAATAAAACTGTGTAAAATCTTTAACAGAAGTGACTCGTTCTAAAAAATAAAAAGACATTCATATATTACGCGTGATGAACTGTCATGCGGGTTTCATATAACCTCATACATATAATACATTATACACATATTCAGTAGAACACTGGGTTCATTCGGAACAAAATAAACTAGATGGTTAAATGAAATGTTTTGTATTCTGTCAAACACTAATCTATAAGTCTGTCATCGCGTTGTTGTAGTATTATTGGTTGTTATTGGAAATGTTTTGATGGGTGCGGGTTGTATTTATTTATTTATTTATCTTATTATTATTATTATTTGCTTATCGTTTTCTTATTATCCTTGCATGCTCTTAAACACTAGAAAAATTAAAAACACAGCACCAATAACGGGCTATAAGCATACGGCACGAACCGTTCACTACCCGATACGGAACTTCGTGAATCGTCCAGTGGCAAATGCCAGATGCCGAGTGCAAGCGCCCTTATCGCAGTTGCTGACACCGTCAGCCCTATTTGGAGGCAACGTAATCCACAGTAGTTTGGCGAACTATGCTTGGGATCAAAATAAAGGCAAAGCACATAAGTTCACAATGTGTCGGTTAAGGATAGTGCGCCAGACAGCGTGGCGTTTGACCTGCTTTTGTTTTATCACCGTGATATATATTTATATATAAGACTAATCCGGCAGTGCTTGAAGCGAAGGCGTATCAAACTGTATCCTTTCTTTATTCAGCTCATCATTTTGGTACATGTAAATGTACCTTATCCAAAATAAATACGACCTAAGAAAAATTATATTTTACAATTAACTTACTCTTTTAAAATCATAATTTATAAATTTATTTTGTATTGCACAATAACTTATGTGCAGCAAACTCCCAAAGAAACGACATGCCTTATTTAATTTAAAATCAGAAATGCTAATTTTTAAAAATCCCATATGGAGATTATGTAATTTCTAAATTTGCTTACTTTTTTTTAAAGCAAACTTGTTGTTTGCTTGTTTGTCAACATTTTTAGCTGAAAATGTCGGATTACAAAACCAAATACAACGTATACTAGCAGAGTAGGAAGTCTTACCCAATATTTTGAAGGGAGGATCTAGACCGTTTTGTTGAACCACAGGAGAAGCGCCTTGTTTAACAGTTTTGTCATCAGTTGCAGGTTATTGTGTCACTGCAACCACCCTTAGTGAAGTTGAACAAATACACAACACAATTTTTGGTCGATTTCAATAGGATTTTTGCTGTTTTTATCTAACCAATTGTATTAGATTACCGGTCACTCAACGGTCACTGACATATGAAATAATTTAACTGATATTTATTGGTCAGTCTCTTTCTCTGCGATGTTACCTTCTGTATTACAAAGGATTTTATTCATAATGATACTTCAGTCGTTACGTGACCTGAACATTAAAAATCAAATTACGTAATTATTTGTTGAAAATTTTGAAAACCTGATTGAAAAACGAACTAACCCCCCCGCTGCCCCCACCCACCCAACCCCTGGTACTTCTGGTCCATCAAATATGGTACTATACATTGTACAACGCGGATTGTGGTCAGTTACAACTGTGAAATGTCGTGTGACTTAACTGTCTGCAGATGGCCGTGAAAGCCAGGCGTGACATGTATGTCAGAGTCATACTTGGATGAAGTGTCACAGCTGCATTTTAGTGGTTATAGAGGATATAGGCCAAATATTAAGTTCAGGGCTATAAAATTGATGACGTTAATGGTGAGCGCATTTGTTTGTTTTTTGATAGTACGGAACTGAGGGATGACACTTCTGAAATTTTGGGGACAAAACGTTAGAAGATCGAGAATGTTGTTATACTGATTTAATTTATGAAAATTATAGCAATACCTTACCATAACATATGATTGAATAAACCCCAGAGAGAGAAGGAAAAACCTGAAATATAATCGAATAGAGTGAAGAGGTGCCATACCTGGCGCACCTGTCGTTAATTATAAGACATTCAAGCATTGAGAACATAACAGGAATTTGTTTGGCCACTAGTTGCTTGTTTAATGATGTAATGTCCAAGAACAGCCACAACCATGGGTCTGCTTACAGCTGATGTAAAAAGAAATCTTTTGAGAACAGTTTAAGAGACTCTTGAGTGCAATGAACTGGTCACGAAACGATCAAGCCGCGTCACGAATCAGGTCACGAGCCACGTCACGAGTCATGCCTCACCGAGCAGAAGAAAAACTGTGTCCAAAAGAAAGCAAATTGGTGCCAGCACGTTCAAATTGAAATTGTAAGAAACCACTGCCCTTGGGAAGTGTTAACGTCCTTGCTTTTGTTTATTTATTTCGCTAGGCCTGGTTAAGCATTTTGATTGTTTGGTAGAGTGATGAGAAATTAAGTCAAGCAAATGATTTGAAACTAACGCATGTTTAAAACACGTTTGATAGATGAAGGACAGCCTAAATGCGACTCACTACTTTACTACTTTTTTGTCCACTGGTGTTTTTCATTGGGCCTAAAGACTACCGAAATAAGTGCATCTGTCACACGTCGTGACACTAACTCGGTGACAACGAACTTTTAGTGTACATGCGACGTTTTTGTTTTCCCGCACGTTGCTGCTACACTGTAGCAAGAATCAATTTTTGCAAACAGAAATTTGTGCCGTAAAAAACACTTAGGCCCTATTAGCCGTTTTCTTTTGCATTTATTAATCTTACCTCCTTTATTTCAACCCAGTCAAAATAGAAAGACTTATTCTATGTATTCAGTAACAGCAAATTGCAGATTTTTACTGTTTGTAACAATGTAGGACACGCTTTTAACACACAAGCGTTTCAACATGTTCAAGAATGGACGTTACGGGGAAATTATTGAAAACCGTATCAAAGTTGTTAAATACAGTTTCTCGTGCCAACAAAATGTCACCTCCGTCTTTACGTTATATGTGTGGGCCTATATGTGTATGGCACACAAACTTGGTGGGCTTTGGGTGTACATGTGTTTTTAGATGTCTTAAGAGTCTCGCATTTAGCCTATGAATGAAAGACATAACAACCTTTGCAAGCGATCAAAAATTAAACCTACAATAAATGCGTAAAAAAAATGAAACAAAAACCCTAAAATTTTGGCTTCCATCGTTAACAAATGTTTGACCACAAAGAGCAGACCAATAGGCCTACACTTGCCAAAATTTTCAGCAAGTAATGAAAATATGAAAACGTCGAGTTACTCGTTTCTGGTCAAAATTCGACCACCAGATTGTCCAGATTGG